CGCACGTACGTCTCGCGCGCGCAACACGTACGCACACACATGCACGCCCACCACACACATGCCACGCACCACACACCACACACACACACACACACACACACACACACACACACACGCATGCACGCACGAACACGCACGCACACACGCACACACGCGCACATATACAAATACATTGATACACACATTAATTAAAAGTTGAAAATCTAACGAGTGAACATATACAGCTAACGAAAGCTATCTATCGATCGAGCGATCGATTGATCGATCGATCGATCAATCCAGCCATCGATCCAGCCATCGATCCCATCATCTACCCATCCATCCATCCATCCATCCATCCATCCATCCATCTACCCATCCATCCACCCACGCATCCATCCATCCATTCATTCATCCATCCATCCATCCATCCATCCACCCACCCGTCCGTCCATCTATCCATCCATCATCTATCCTTCCCTCATCCATCCATTCCACACACCTACCCATAATCCATACCATCCATCCATCCACTCCATCCAATCCATCCCATCCATCCATCCATCCATGCCATCCCATCCATCCATCCATCCATTCCCATCCATCCATCCATCCATCCATCCCATCCCAGTCCATTCATCCATCCATCCATCCATCCATCCATGCTCCAACCATCCATACCATCCAGTCCATCCATCCATCCATCGCATCCAATCCATCCATCCATCATCCATCCATCCATCCATCTATCCATCCATCCATCCATCCATCCATACCATCCATCCATCCATCCATCCATCCATGCACTCTCCGTCCGTCCGTTCCTCCATCACCATACACTCACCTACCCACCCATCCATCCAGTTCCATCCATCCATCCATCTATCCACCATCCATCCATCATCCATGCCATCCAATCCATCCATCATCCACCGAATCCCAATCCATCCACCGCACCCACCGCAATCCATCCATCCACCCATTCATCCATCCATCCATCCATCATCCAGTCCATCCACCATGCATCATCCATCCATTCCATCGCATCCATCCATCCATCACATTCCATCCATCCATCCAATCCATCCATTACATCTCATCCAATCCATCCATCCATCCATCCATCTATCCATCAGATCCATCAAATCCATCCATCCATCCATTCACCCGACCATCCATCACATCCAGCCATCTCATCCCATCCATCCATCCAAATCCATCCATTCCATCCACCCATCCATCCATCCATCCATCCAGTCAATCAATCCATCATCATCCATCCATCCATCATCCATCCATCCATCATCCATCCATCCATCCAGCCAATCATTCCATCCATCCAATCCATCCATCCATCCATCCATACCATCCATCCATCCATCCAATCCAATCCATCTCCATCCATCCATCCATCCATCCATCCATCCATCCATCCATTTCATCATCAGCCATCCATCCATCATCCAATCCATCCTTCTTCCATCCATCCATCCATTCATCCATCCATCTCATCCATCCATCATCCAATCATCCATCCAGTCCATCCATCCATCCATCCATCCATCCATCCCATCCATCCATCCATCCATCCATCCATCCATCCAATCATCCAATCATCCATCCATCCATCCATCCATCCACTCCATCCATTCCAATCCATCCATCCATTCCATCACATCCATCTCATCCATCCATCCATCCATCCCATCCATCCTATCCATCCATCCATCCAGCTATCCATACACATCCATCCCATCCATCCATCCATCCATCCATCCATCCAATCCATCCATCCATCCATCCATTCCATCCATCCATCCATCCATCCATACCATCCAGTCCATCCATCCATCCATCCATCCATCCATCCATCCATCCATCCATCCCATCCATCCATCCATCCATCCATCCATTCCATCCATCCATCCATCCATCCGATCCATCCAATCCATCCATCAGCCATCATCCATCATCCATCCATCCATCCATCCATCCCATCCATCCATCCATCCATCCATCCATCACCATCCATCCATCCATCCAATCCATCCATCCATCCAGTCCATCCATGCCATCCATTCCACCATCCATGCCATCCATCCATCCAGTCCATCCATCATCAATCCATCCATCCATCCATCCATCCATCCATCCATCCTTACCTCTTCCATCCATCATCCTTTACCATCCATCCATCCATCATCCATCCATCCCATCATCACCATCCATCCATCCGATCCATCCATCCATCCATCCATCCATCCATGCCATCCATCCATCCATTCATCATCCATCCATCATCCATCATTCCATCCATCCATCCATCCCATTCGCCATCCATCCATTCCATCCATCCATCCATCCATCCATTCCATCCAATCGCCTTCCTCCTCCATTCGATATGCATTCCATCCCATCAGCCATATCCCTTCCATGCCATCCATCCACTTCCACTGCAATCCAAATCCATCCACCGATCCATCCCATTCGCGTCGCAATCCATCCATCCATCCATCCATCCCCATCCATCCATCCATCCCATCCATCCATCCATTGCCATCCATCCATCGCATCATCCATCCATCCATCCATCCATCATTCCATAATCCATCCATCTCATCCATAATCATCCATCCATCCATCTCATCATCCATCCATCACATCCATACCTCCATCCATCCATCCATGCCATCCATCCCACTCCATCCATCCATCCATCGCATGCATCATCATCCTTCGCATCCATCCATCCATCCATCCACATCCCATCCATCCATCCATCCATCCATCTCATCCAATCCATCCATACCATCATTCCATTCCCATCCATCCATCCACCATCCACTCCATCCATCAATCCATCCATCCATCCATCCATCCATCCATGCCCCATCCATGCCATCCATCCATCCATTCCATCCAGTGCCATCCAATCATCCATCCATCCATCCATCCATCCATCCCATCCATCCATCCTCATCCATCCATCGCACCATCTCCATCATCATCCATCCATCCATCCATCTCATGCCATCCATCGCCATCCATGCCATCCATCCATCCATCCATCCATCCATCCATCCAATCCATCCATCCTATCACATGCCTCATCCATTCCATCCACCATCCATTCATCCATCCATCCATCCATCCATCCATGCCATCCCATTCTCCATCCATCCATCCATGCCATCCATCCATCCTCCATCCATCAATCCATCCATCCATCCATCCAATCCATCCATCATCCATCCATCCATACGCACTCCATTCCATCCATCACCATCATAACCATCCATCCATCCATCCATCCATCCATCCATGCAACCATCTATCCATCCATGCAACCATCTATCCACAAATCCATCTATTTACCTATCTATCGGCATACACGCCCACACATCCGCACGCACACACACCCCTCTCTCTCTCTCTCACACACACACACACACACACACACACACACACACACACACACACACACCCACACACACACACACACACACGCACGCACACGCACACACACACACACACACACACACACACACACACACACACACACACACACACACACACACACACACACACACACAGGCGGACAGACAGACAGACAGACAGACAGACCGACTAATTAATTCGCAGAATAACATCTTGTGTTCGCCCCCTGCAGATTAACTTGGTTTTACAGGATTTACCTTGCCAAATGGAGATATAAATTACGATGCAATGCGAGACCACGGTGCCCTCACCGAGGAGCAATGGAACGAGGGCGTGCCAAGCTCTGATGACCACGCACCGCCGCCAGGCTATGGCGCACCAGGTGGACATGCAAAACCAGACAACTACGGCCCTCCTCGCGATAGGCACAGTTACGGTCCGCCAGGAGGAATGGGCGCCCCACGCAGCTATGGACCCCCTGGTGGCGGCTTGCAGCATGGCCCACCACAGGGAAACCTTCAATATGGTCCCCCAGGTGGCTTTGGGAATGCGGATAACTCTGGTCCCCCAAGCAACAACCTAAAATATGGAGTTGGACCGCAGGGTATTTATTCGTCACCAACAAGTGACCCATATAGCATGTTTCCAGCGGGTGAGAACGACAGATCAAGCTACTACGGTAGAGATCACCGCAACAAAGATAACCGAGATGGGAGATCATCTGGTCGTAATCCACTAAATGCGCAAATCTCCGGCAAAGACACGCCATTTTCCCTAGATAACATGGGGTTTGGAATGATGAGTGACCTCAAATCTGGCCCTATCAGTGCTGGCACCTCGTTTGCACCAGGTGGCGGATCTGCACCATCTTTTTATGGGCCACCTACTAGTGGACCGAATACGTTCAACCCAAGTGGTGGGCTGAACACCTTTAACCCAACTGGTCTACTAGGTAGTTCGCAGCCGACGGGCTACGGGCCACCTGGTGGCAACGAGCCTCCGCCAGGCTACAACAGCCAGTTTGGCCAGCTCCACTTCCAGAAGCAGGATCTTGATCTTTCACAGAATAGCTACCAAAATTCCCAGGGTGGTTACGACCCATATCCGTACGAGAGCTATGGCCCCGATGGCGGTTACAATGGGCCACCACAGGATGACGAAGGTGAGAACAGTGAAGGCCAGGGACAAGATGGACCTCAAAGGCCATACGCAGATGGACGGGGCCAATATGGCGGACGGGGCCAATATGGCGGACAGGGCCAACATGACGGACGGGGCCAATATGGCGGACAGGGCCAACATGACGGACGGGGCCAATATGGCGGACAGGGCCAACATGACGGACGGGGCCAATATGGCAGACAGGGCCAATATGACGGACGGGGCCAATCTGGCGGACGGGGCCAATATGGCGGACGAGGCCAATATAGATGTGTGTGCGTACGTGTGTGCGCGCGCACGTACGTGCGTGCGTGCCTGCGTGTGATCGGAGTGTTAATCGAGGGGATATATCATTGGTAGTCTCAATTCATCACGGTTGGTTGATTGCCCACCTAGATTGAACAAAAAACGTCGTACCGCCTGTAAATTTTTCGCAAACAACGTGATGATAATTTACTTCGTCGAATAGTTACGTGTTTAGCTTGAAACTGACTAGGCCCCTATATGTCAACCGCAGCTTCGCCGAATCACCTTAACTGCATGTTTTTATTGGATTAAAACAAATAAACTAATTTGTTTAAACCCTAAAATAAAGTAAATCTTTTTATGCATATAGAGACGATCCTGTGTTTAGTGTTTAAAACATATTAAAAACATAATATTTTCTAAACCAAATGTTTAATGCAGCCTTAAGCCCAACTGACAGCAGCTTAACTGCACTCAATATCTAATTAATTAGGGTAATTAATTCGTTTAATAAGTGTTCCGTTATATCTTTATCTGGTCAAGTAATGTTGCTAAGCTGGTTTGTTATTACATAACATGCCACTGATGAACATTTCTCAGCAGGTAATCGTCCATATTCTTCACCTGTGCCTATCGTGTGTGACGGCGTGACGTCACGCTTCGGTCAACGGGTCATGTCGTCAATAACGGGCCACCAGTATATAAGG